GCACTTCTTTAGAAAAGCATTTTTTTCTTAAAAGTCATAATAATGTACATGCAAATGAGCCTTGATGTTTTATTACAGAGTAAGGAAAAAAAGAAATGAATGGATGGGCACATTAAAATTCTGGATTGAAAGTGATTGGCTTCTGGGTTTGCTTTGCTGTCCACACAGGGTGGGCAGGCGAGCCAGATGAGGTGTTTGCCTGCAGAGTTCAGCAGTCTCGGCCTCAGCAGATGGGGCCTGAGAACAGGGTTCTGGTGAACAAATAATTGCAGATGTGGGATTGTCTGTGGTGCCTTCCTGTGGTGGGTGTGTGAGGACAGATGGAGGAGCTGGGGCAGTAGCAYTGTGACAAATACTTACATACAAAAATATTGGAATTTTGTAGCCTGTTTGTTATTTATTTTGGCAGTGAAGCTGCCTAGCCCTTGGCAGGAGCAGGGAAGACGCCCTTTGTGGGTACAGGAAATGAGAATTGTAGGTACCATGGGGCAGCTGCTCTGGGGCTTTTCAGACCCCCATGCCACAGGGATGTGTCCAGCAGCAGTGCTGGGTGGCTCTGGGGACTCTTGGGCCATCTGAACCCCAGTGTGCTGCTGGCAGCCACTGTCACATGTTCTTGCTAAGGAGTCCAGAGCTCTTTTTTTGTAGGAGCTATAAAATTCCATGGGATACCACTCACGTAAATTGCTGCATTAAAAAAAAAATAGAAAAGGGCTCTCCAAAAGCATCAAAGTTCAACTCCATTCCCTGCACAGGACAGCCCCAAGAATCACACCATGTGATCCTCCTGAGTGTTTAGGATTAGCTACCAGTTGTAAAAGTACAGTTCCCCTCCAAACATTATTAATGAAGAATCCCAGCAGTTTTCTGCAGGATTATCTGCTAATGTTTAAGACTCCTTATGATAAGTGATCTAGAACTGGAATCTTTCTTCTGCAGATGGTAGCAAGGTCTCTGATGCCACCTTGATGGAGGTCTTACTGATGAATGACTTTAAACTTGTTATCAACAACACAGCACACAGTGTGTCACCTCCTGTAAAAGGTAAGAGCGTGTAAAAGGTAAAAAGTGAGAGTGATTATCTCACTTAATTTAGTGAAAGGCTTGGGAAGTGTCAGAAAACTGGAACCTGTCTGGAGAAAGGTGTTTCTCCACTGGRTGGTCCTGCTTTTGGGGTTGGAGGTGGTGGGGGGAATGAAGAAGGGTGTGTTGTTGAAATGGTTTATATGACAAATATTTTCTTTTCAGATCAGCTGAGTAGTGAGCACGCTACTGAAATGGAAGATATCAAATCCTTGGTTCACAGACTATTTGTGGCTCTACATTTAGAAGAACACCAGATCAGGAAAGAGCGAGAATTGCTGCAGAAACTGGACCATCTGAAAGGAGAGYTGCTGCCTCTTGAACAGGTTGGAAAGTGGGCGGAATTTTTTTTTTTTTAATCAAAAGCACTTCCTTTCATCAAAAGTAAGTYCTGTGACAGAAGAAAATCAGCATGAATGGCTTGGTTTGTTTGTTATGTAAAGAGAGGTGAACTCAAATAGAATGTAAATTATTTTCAATTCAGTTCTATTTCTTCCTGTTATGGACATTCACGGTTTAGAAAGCACAACACCTGGAGAAAGCTGTCAAGGCTCAATATGACTGCTACTGAGATTGAAAGGCCATTTAGTCACCTTTTGCTTTATGAATTCAGAGTACCCATTACAGTKAAAAAAACTACAGTGGTGTTGACATTATCTGTGGCTTAGGATAGTRGACAAGAGGAGTCCTGCTTTATGAAGGCCAGCCTTGGTGTTACCCAGAACTGTCTCAAATGGTAAATGGAAATACAACAGACACATATCCCTAGCAGTGGGAAGGGGAGATTAGAAGTGGGATTTCTTGGTGCACAATGGCATAAAGATCTGGTTGCCCTTAATTTCAGTGCTTTTATTCTCAGCAGAGTAAGTCAGCAGGAGGTGTTGATAGATCCTGAGAAAGGATCTAGCCCAGCAGGAGAAAACATAGTTTAGGAGCTGCTCATCAGAGGAGCACTCACGTTTGTTTGAACAGGTTTCTGCATTTCTTTTCCTTAGATGAAGGCCAGAATCATGGACAGTGCAGATGCAAAAACCTCCAGGCTTTTATGGGTTGGCTTAGCTCTGATGTCAACTCAGGGGGGAGCGCTGGCGTGGCTCACGTGGTGGGTCTACTCRTGGGACATCATGGAGCCAGTCACGTACTTCATCACCTACGGGAGTGCCATGGCTTTCTATGCCTACTTCGTCCTTACTAAGCAGGTGAGTCCTTGCCTTCTAAAGGCCTGGAATGTTCAAAAGGAGGCATCTTTGAATCACCGTCTTTGAGCTCTGACGAAAACAGAATTCAGTGAGTGGCCTTGCCATCAGACAGGGACTTGTTTGATCCCTAATGCGGCTGCATACAAACATTACATCATGCAGAATCAAGGAGGGAACTGCAGACCAGCCACTGAGCATTACTACTGTCTGTAGCACTTCATAACRCAGGGAATGAAAAGTGAGGAAAGAAGTCTCTCCTTTAAAATKTTTGTAGATTGCTTTGCATAGTAAATGGCACATTGCTTACTGCAGTAATTGGAGAGCAACTGGTAGTGCTGTGCCAGTCTGTGAATTCTGCCATACAGAAGCAAATCACCCAAAAGTAGCTTTTATTTGCTGCAGTTTATGTATACACAGTGCAGGGTACCAAAYTGTTTGGAACTCTGGCAGTTGCATTATTGAAATATACCGTAATCAATGCTTGAAGAAATGTTATTGCTTTGCTTTTCATAATCCGACTGCTTTTCCGTGGATGAATGGAGGTAAATCTAGGACAGCTGAAATGGAGCAGGAAGCAGGCACAGTGTAGAASAGAAAAGTTTGCTCTGATCTTAACTTAGCTCCTCAATACAGACTTGTTCKGAAATCCTGTAAGACTTGGGGAAATGTTTCTTTTTCCTGTTTTAGCTCTGTACTTGAYTCTCAAAGTGGACATCTTGATGTTRAACTTTCTATGATGCAAAACCCTTTTTGTTGTGGAGGTGTGTGRAAGAGTAACCAATGCTTTCTTCCATTATACCAATGGATCTTATGACCATTATACCAATATAGACCTTGGGAGACATTAGGTTCTTTCAGTGAAAAGGGAAGATGTGTCTGTTTTTATGAAGAGCTGGCTCTGAATACAACTTATACACCTTCTCACTGTTTTTTAAGCAGGGCTAAGGCATTCCAGCTTTTTGTGAGTACTTAAAGAGATTACTACTTGGCCTTTTTGAATAGCTGCTTGGTGCCATGGCTTAAGACTTTCAAATAAGTCTTCAAGAAATAGTACCTGAATTTTCTCTGACTCCTTGGAAGTAGAGTCCATTGACTGAGGTGGCTCCAGTCATGAAGATCATGCTGTCTTTATTATAAGTGTAATGCATGATAGAATGGCATGATAGAAATTGCTCCCACCATGAGTTTAAAAAGCCCTTATGACCTGTAAGGGCATAACCTCACACATCGCCTCTTTACAAATCATACATGTGTGTTGAACAAGGTAAGTCTTCCTGAAAGAGGCTGAGTTTCTAACGTGCTGACCTCTACTCAGCTGACCTCTACTTTCTTGCATTTGCAGTTTCATTGCTAACCACAAATCCATGTCGTCCTTCCTCCCCCAGGACTACATTTACCCYCTCGCTAAAGACAGGCAGCTCCTCCACTACTTCTACCGCAAATCCAAAAAACAGCGTTTTAATGTGGAACGATACAACAAGCTCAAAGACGACRTAGCACAGGTATTTAAATGCAGTCCTTCAACAATTAGGTAGCTTCTGGGTTAAGACTTTTTCAGTAAACTCTCAGCTAACAGAAAATTAAYCTTAAGGCTTGCTATCAAAGTGCTGTATTGTTATCAGTCAGTTTCAGCTGTCCAGATAACCATACAATGTGTGCCTTTGATGTATAAACTATTTCAGTAGGTCAGCAGAAAGAGAGACCTTTATTAATTTAATTTAAAATAAGTAAGTCAGTTTATCAGCATGATACGTCTATTTTTTGCATACTCCAATTAGTGCTGCATTTTTGGCCATTTTAATAGAATAGCTGCATTTATTTTTGGCACAGTATGTTTGCTGCACTGCTGTGATAACACTCTCTTCCTTGGAAGGAGATTGTCTTGCCAAGCTCACCGTTTGATATCATAACTTTATTCCTTAGGTAAAATATTTAAATTTGCAGAATATGGGTAACCGAATGGAAAAGGTGGTATTTGCACCTAGGAGAAATTTGGTGGCCTTCATTAAATAGCTGCAGCAACCTTTTACTCCTCAATTACTCCTCCATTCCATCTTGGCAGCTCTGTGCTCGATGTCTCATAACGAAAATGGAAACTACTCCTAATTTTAGCTCAAAACCATAGTTCAGGGTGTCATTTCATAAGCCACATTGACATAATGTTAGAGTTTGAYACTTTTTCAGTGGCCTGGGGGTATRAATTTTTTAATTGTAATTTCAGGAAAACAATACTTTGTGGTATGGGTGAGCGGGTTGAGGGGCAGGGTTCATGCTTCTCACTGGAGACTGAACGCCTTGAGCAAGTCTGTCAGTGTTCAGCATCCTTCACTTGACTGGTTTTATCCTTGCCTAAGACCAGTGCCTTCTGAGAAAAGACAGTGCATGTGTGAAAGAGGAGAAAGCAGAGGGCTGCAGAAGGATGAACTCTCCCTCTTTCTTGCATTGGCAGGCAGAAGAATCCCTGAGGCGACTGCGCCAACCTCTGCGCCTGAGGCTTCCCATCCAGGAAATCAGGGACAAGGACTGACTTTGGTTTTGTGTATATTGGAGATGCCCTTTCAGAGCTGATACAAACATTTATTTACTCCATAGCACCTGGGTTTTTTTGACCACTGAAGTTTTAAAAGTTGCAATAAATAGCTATGAAAATTATTTCGTCACTTGATGATTTCRGTTTGTTTTGCTTGTTGTTATTTTTTTCAACCATATGAAGAGGCTGCTGAAGCAAAGTTCTTCATAATATTTGTCAAGTCTCATTAGTACAAAGGAGGCATTCTTACCGCTGGTAAAATGAAAGCAAGTTTATTAACAAGGGTATTTTTAGTACCATTTGCTGCAACACAGCAGTACTCACAGGATAATTAACTTCTGCATGGAGTAGTAAAGATTCCTTTCCTGCAATTACTGTTTCCTTTTCCCTAGTCTGTGCATTGACTCTGTAGCACCACAGGTGCAGTATAGATTAGCATGACAATTAAGTGTTTTTAGTAAACAGTGCTGGAAAAGTAAGGTATCTCGAAACTCACTATAAAATCATTTATGTTTCACTGTTGCATTTTATTGGAAGAATTTATCAAAATGTTCATACATACATGATTCATACAAAGCTTAAAAGCAGTTGTAGTAAGATATAACATCTATGACTCAGAACATAGTGTATGAAAAGACTTAACTAAAGCAGAGCCAGTAAATTGATTATTTTATCCCCAGGAAAGTGGATAAAGACACTGCTCAGTGTGAATTTTCCATTGTCTCCTAAAGGGACATGTAATAATGTAAACAACCCCCCAAAACAGGAAGAAGAGAAATATTTGCTTCAAGTCAGTACCACTGCAGTTATTGATGCTGCAATGGTAACAATCCTGTGGTGACCATGCACTAAGACTTTTGTGCACACAGTGACAGAGGTATGGCTCTTCTTCTCCAGGGCCAAGAGGAGGCTGATCCACCACCAAGGCCTGAAGGATGGAGGTTTGCCTATGTTACATTTTGCAGAGCTGCCTCGAGATGTCCTGCATCTTTAGCTTTAGAGATCTGGACAAGGCAAGGCAAGCTTACCCAGAGTCACCCTAAGCAAGCTGCACGTGCCCTCCTCTCACCACTGCTTGCTTTTCTCCTGAGGATGCAAAGCACCAGCAAGCTGTAATTGTGCCCCAAACATAAGTGATGTTCAAGCAAATGAAACCCCTTATTAATCCACCCTATTTAATTCATCCTATATTTATGCTACAATGGTACTCAAGGAATTAAGTTCCTTTCTAGTGTCGAGAGAAAAATTAAAAAATGTATAAAAAGCTCAATAAAGCCACAAAAATAGCAAGGAAGGTGGATACTTCCATCCACAAATGTAAAAAGATGCCCTACAAACACATTCTCTGTAAACCGTGCTCTTGGAGCAAGACAAGTAAATCTAATGCAACATTAGAAATGTTTTGGAAATAGTAAAATGTGCCATAGTTAGATGGCAATCAAGCAAAAGGCTTTTAAGAAACAAGTAATCTAGAGTATCAATTTCAATAAAATCTGAGCACCTTCTAATAGTTTTGCACCAGTCAACTTTTCCCAAATTCCCTGAGCTGAATTCCCTAGTATAATTCTAGCTTTAAAATTGTTTTAAGATTTTAGAAATTATTAGGTACACAAACTGTAATGTTTGATCCCAGTGATTTTGCAGAGAATCTTGTAGAGTATTAATCTCCTCAACTAAGGCAGTTTTTTTTACTTATGCGGCAAGTAATAGCAATGATCTTCATTGTTATTTAATCTACTTAGATTTTGGACGGAAATACAATTTTTTAGTTAACATTGAGGCAAAACAAGGAATCTGTTTTTTCCCTATAGCATTAATGTTTTTGCATCTATCCACTCTGCGATGAGATACTTTCCTGTTAACAAGAGTAAGAAGTTCTGTGAACTCCAAGGAAGATCCGTGCTTCCTAAGTGTCTCACACAAATCTTGGATGTACCAGGAGCCATATAAAGTGTCACGATGAGAATAGTAGCCTAGTGCAGAAGAAGAACATAAAATTATATCCAAATGTAAGTAGTGATACTTCTTGGAAAACTGTTTATGAGAGTCACTGTTTCCTAGCTAACATCTGTACGGAATTACTAATGGGTGTAAATCTTCGCCAATTACGCAATTTCACTGGAAATTGTAGATGGGAAATGGGTTTGGTAGCGGTTGGAGTGCTCAGCTAAGAGGAATGTGATTCAGGGACTGGCAGCTTACAGGGCTGCATCTGCACTTTGTAAGAGAGCAGACAGGACTGAGGACAACATACATGGGTGGACTGGAGAGAACAGCAGGGAAATTTATAAGCCACCAAAATCCTGGAAAAGAGAGGAATGCTTGCTGTCAGGAGACAGCTCAGCAGCAAGACTGATGAGAATGCAAACRCAATTAAATTTGGCAAATTTAATGCACCTTGATAATTTACTTTCATTTTTTCTTTGGCACGTAAGGTTCTTCCCCAGACAAGTTGTTACTTAYCAGATATGTAAATCAGAAGACTTGGAACTGTTCTTATTTTTTTGGTTGCAAAATGAAGAAGTGTTCAGGTGYTCAAGTGTTGTCAGACCAAAGACACGGGATGTAAACTATTAGAACTTACCTTGCGCCACTGAGTAGCACATGATGAAGTCTGCACCAGCGGGCAGGGTGTAGACAGCAGCTGCATCCACTTCTGTCTCACTGACAGAGCATTCGTGGCTGCTGTCTGTTGAATCGTATGCAATGACTGGATCGTCGTGTTTATCGCCTCGACAGGCCTGTGGGTGAGAAGTGTGGTTATGCTTCCACCTCTGCCAAGCTCACTGTTAATATCACACTTCTGACACTGACCAGAGGGACTTCTGCGCAGCTACGAGTGCCACATTAACATGATTCTGTCTTCAGAAGACCCCATTTACTTCTCTATTACTTAAAACATTGGTGACAAAGTCCATTAAAAGGTCCAAGATGATCTCATGATCACCAAGACTGGAAGGGATTTCYTGAGATCATTTAGTCCAACCCCCYRAGTCAAGCAGTGTTAGCTACAGCAGGTTGTCCAGGACTATGTCCAGTCAGCTTTCAAGGATCCTCCTAAATGGGAGACTCCATAACCCGTCTGGGTGACCTCTTAAGTGCTCGATCAACCTCACAGCACAAAAAAAGTGTTTTCTTGTGTTGAAATGGAATTATGTGTTTTAATCTGTTCCAGTTCCTCTTACCCTGTCACTTGGGTACCTGAAAAGAGCCTATCTCCCTCTTATTTATTCCCTCCCACCAAGTGTTCAGGACATTGATAGGATTCCCCTGAGCCATCTCCTCTATGCTGAACAGTCCCAGCTCTCTCAGCCTCTCCTCATATCAAACGTGCTCCACAGTCCCTTAATCATCTTTGTGGCCCTTTGCAGGACTCACTCCAGTAAGCCAACCAACCAACCAAAAAGTCCACAAAAAAAGAAAACAAACAAAACCCTCACACTTAAAACCCAACTGCGCCAAGGATCAAGTAAAAGGACTTGCCTGGAAGAAAGCAATGAAGATACAAAGGTTTGATAACTTCACAGCTTAGCCTAGGCTTGTGAGGTGTGAGCACTAGGAACTGAGCTGAGGTTGCACAGAACCTCCACAAAAAAAAAAAAAAAAAAAAAAAAAAAAAACAAACAAAAAAAAAAAACCAAAAAACAAAAAACAAACCAAAAACCTCATACTGCCTTTTCTGCTTTTAAATACACATTCTGACATGGACCTGTGTTTTTCATAAAATTACTTATGAAATATAGCTACAATATTAATATTAACACTAGTATACATTAGGGTTTCTAAGAAAAAKAGAAGAATCCTTGTCTTAAATGCCTTTAAGGAACCATTTCCCTTGTGGAAAGACTGTATCAGGAAAACTGACATCTGTATCGCAGGAGAAGACACAGGTCAGTGTTAACTACACGGAATTCAGAAGCAGCCATCTTACCTGAATGATAAATATCTTTGGTTTTCCTACCAAGCTCTGGCACTTGTCTCCTCTGAACATGTCTGTGATTGTCTGAATTTTGATTTTATCATCATATGCATAAATGTGATCATCTTCACCATGGCTCAGGAGCACACACACAAAGCAGTCAGCATTACTGTGGTCATCCATAGAGGCTGGAACAGTCAAGTGGTGTTTATATGACCAAACAGTCACATTCAGGTTTAAAAAACCTGCACATTTGTATCATATAATTTATTCCCCAATCAGTCCTTTTKCAAATGAATGTTATTTCCAGACAGAGCAACATTGTAGAGATTTGAAGATGCCCTGAGTCAACCTGGCTGAGGGGCCATTAACCATAAAATGAAGAATGTCATCAACTTCTCCCAGCAGCATGCATTTTCTTTCAGCTTTTATCAGTGACTATCAGTGACTTTATTTTTTCAGTGACTTTATTAGTTCTCTTCATAGAAGCTTCATTTCTATTGCAATAAAACAACCTGTAGTCTAACCTTTAAGTCCTTCTAATGTTAAAGAATTTCCTTGTGCACAAGTTTATTTTAAGTTAAATGAACAGAGAGATTGGAAGAAAAGGTATCTGGGAATTCTTCTGCAATAATTTAGACATAACCAATATACAGTCTCCTACCTTCATGAATTTTCTGCAGCACCTCATCTGCTTTCAGGTTATCAAAAGGTCTGACTTCAAACCCAAGGTCTGTCAAACTAGTGTTAGAACAGATCAGTATTAGTAAAAATCTTGCTGAAATTACATATCAATTGCTACCAAATCAGTTTCTTTCCCTGCAGGAGAATTAATATTTTTATGCATTATTTATGAAAAAAACTACTAAAGTTGATTTTGAATTCAAACTGTCAAGTGTCAGGTCTACTAAAAGTTACTTCAAGAGTTTGTCCAGACAAAGTTCAGGACTCACTGAAATCATAGRACTTGGGCCAGCAGTTTCTGCACCTTGAAGGTTTTTTATTATGGCTTTCTTCACACAATTTGCATAGGTGCTACGTCTGCAAAATCTGGTCTCTACTCAAACACAAGATACAGTTAACTCCTTAATCTGACCATGATTTCTAAAGTTTAGCAGGTTTCTAAGTGTTAGTAGAGCAACCAAGTTTCATACCTGCGTTTCAGATTGTCTCTGTCTGCCATAGTCCCATTTCTGTGTGGCAGYGTTAAACGCCAATTAAAGAGCTCGTGATTGAAGATTAATGCAACTCCTCTTCTAGGATGGCTCATTTTGTATTCCACTCCAGGATCAAGTGTTTGTCTGCTGCCACAAATGGAAAGTATTCTTGGTAAATAAGGCTGTTTCATTAGTTAGGGCACGTAAGCGTGCACTTCAGACATGGCTCCAATTCTCCATGTTATGTGTTTAGATAAATATTAGCATAATTGGATAGTACACATGTACTTATTGGAGTTGTAGCTGTCTGTGATCTGTTTCAAGTTCTTCCAAGTAAATCAACTGYTGCATCATAATCAATAGATGATAAACTGGTGATAWGGTGCTAAGTGTASTGTATCTTGCAAAAGAAGAACAAATGTTTGTTATTTACCCTAACAAAATGAAAGCTGTGACAACACAACTGTTCAACTAAGTTTTTAGTAATTGGACCACAAAATCCTAAAGCTAAAGGACAGAGATCTTCTTAAGGACAGAATAAACGACCCACTCAGCTTCTAAGCAGAGGACTTTAAACTATTTTAGCAGCAAACACATGCAACACTCGTGTGTGTGGGAGTAGCATTCAGCAATTTTACTGGTTTATGAGCAAAACACAACATAGGACATGTCACAGCACACTCTGGACTTGGCTGTGGACCCACAGTCATGGCAGCACTTGGACCCAAAAGATCCTAAGTGTTGACATGGCTGTAAGTGAAAAGACAAAGYAGACAATCTTTCTGCTTTTGTAGTTACCGGTGGAGGAAACAGAAAGTGAAACAGTTCTGGCAACAGCACTGGCAATAGAAAAGTCCAGAGTTCCAGGTGCATAGAATGACATGCAGCCCTAGGGCTGGCTCTGGTCAGAGCTGTCATTTTTGCCATGCTAATCTTTTATTTCATGTAATGAAATATTCAGGTTTGGTGCAATTAATGGAGAAAGTTGCTTAGAATATTTGTCTGCAGATGTTTTGAGATCAGAGTTTCATTGGCAAATGCTTTTGTTTTCCAACAAAATTACCATCATTACCCACAGACTATCACTACTTCTCCACTTCGTTTTTGAGAATCCTCTTAATGAAACACCTTTTTGTTACATCTACATCAGAATTCAGACAGAGAACAGAAATTCGGGATGGCTGTTCAAAGTCTGGGCTTTCTACAGTGTTGCCTGGATAACCAATAAGAGAAGGAGGGTGCTTTATGACATTCTTCCCCTTTGGAGTACCTAACATGATAAAATGCAAAGATTATAAATTTTAGCCTTGTAATTATGAACAATATTTCACCTGCATCAATACCAGCATTTTTTTCAGATGCTGACAATTTCTCTTCCTTAGGATTTGGCTAGGTGCAGGGCTAGTAGGGATTCGGACAGTTAAGTCCCTGGATCCTGTGAATGATAATTAAAGGATGATTCCCTAAATAGCTCTTTCTCTACTTAGCTTTATTCTTTGAATGGATGAGGCAAATAAAGTTATCAGGCAGGTAGTTTACTGTTTTCAGAGCAGTCATGGAATCACTATTCCATGGTCCATTTCCCCTCCTTCCAGAGGAATATTTTCCTGTACAATATACACTTAGTCTGTCCAGTGCCTCCTTAGATTATGATGGTCTCTGCATTTTGCCTAAAAYAAAAAGAGAACACTCCTGCTAGTCCCTTCCACATACCTTCACAATAAGGGTGCTTCTGCATCTGGTGTAGCTAAAACTAGAAACAGGTTTTGTAAGTGGGTGGAGTTGAATTAAACAATTCTGKCAAATTCTTAACAAAAATCAGAAAACCCTGCATTAACCTCAATCCCTTGGGACATCTCTGTTCACTGCCACCAGAACTTTACCTTGTATCAAATGCATCTACTTCTGTGATGTTCTYATTTCCATCTGTTAGAGAGATCGAAAAGTGATTTAGCCACAAAATCATTCATTAAAAATAAATAAAACCAATTTGAACTTATGCATCCAACCTCAAACTTTAGCTGTTAATGTGAACCAAAAGCTCATTCACACTTCAGGGAAGTAGGCATGCAGCCTACTTAAACAGCCACACTAGCATTTGTCTTCACCCACAGCTTTTGGAGGCTGTTCTGGAAGTTCTGACTTGAAGTCTGAACAGGTGGTCAAGACATGCATATTTTCTATCTGTCTGTGTATCTGTACCTATATAAACTTATTCAGAGACCATGATTTCATATAACTAACTAGCTGGCTGTACTTTTTTARAGATACTCTAAACAGTTGCAATTTTACGTAACTTAAAAATACACTGGTGTTTATTTCAGCAGTGCTGCTAACACAAAGATGAGCATTCTCTTTGAGGCTGGATGYACCACATGAGTCACAGTAGGCAGTGGAACAGCCACTGACAACTGAGAAGATGCAAGATTTAAAACTTTTATTCTGCTCAACTAACAGAATGGACATAGAAGTAAGTGTGGGGACAACAAGGAACACACATATCCTGGGAGCTGCAGAACTACAGACTTGCAGATGCTTAGGCCAAAATACTTATTCATTTCACTCAAGCATCTTAATGCTATTAAGGCTATTAAATCACTACTAGTACTGGCAGAGCAGTAGTAGCTACGACGATATGAGAATTGCAAACTCTACAGTACCTGTGGTGGGTAATACAGGTCTGCTATCCAGCTGGACAGTGCCTGCAATTACAAAGAAGAGTCGCATGTACATGTGTTTTACAAACTACTTTGCATATAAGGCACTACATTTTCATCTGGTTTTACACATCTTTTTCACCTGTTACTAATGCCTTTTGCAAAACTAACATAGCTATGTATTGATGGAGGAGAAAAGTTCATAAAGACACCATAATAAACTTGCAGAAATCTGGATTTGGCTTTAGAAGCTTTAATATTGAACACCACAGCACAGGAAAGCAGAGGGATGGCTCAAAGGAAATCATCTGCTTCCAAGTGTTACTTTTTACCACCTGCTTCCAAGTGTTACTATTTACACCGGAGCTTCCCACTGGCAAATATCAACCAGGTGTTCTGTCTTACAATTATTCCAGTAATATGAACCACRAGAAAAGCCATTTCACATTGCTTCCAACATAACAGTAGGTCAGACTGATGACAGAAGTGCTAAAAAGTGAGTGTTGATAGAACATAACACCACCTGTGACTGTTGGCAATTAGAAGGCAGAGCTCTTAAGTGAGTCCATCTGTATGTTAAATTTATACTTTATTCTTGCTTGTGGAAATGAGATCTGGCTGTTGCTTCAACTCAAGGGGACGGGGTGCAGAAATCCACTCCCCCCAAAACCAGATAATTTTAGTCATCAAAGTTTAAGACAGAAAATASTGTCATACACACGCAGGAGGAACAGAATTCCTGGACCAAAACAAAACTAGGAAAAGATKATTTTCCTGTTAATTTAATCCTGTTTAGTCACTTCCTAGTCTTTAACTTTTCATTGTTACTCTCATATTGCAGAAAACCAGGAAAAGTTATTTGAATTATAATGATCTATGGATAGTTTTCTTCTTGTCTTACATAGGCACCGGCTTGTCCTAAAATCTGATTGAGAGCAACGGGACTATTTGTCTTTACTTTTGTGAAGAGAGATTGTTTCAAAGGAATAAAAAATGAGGTATGCACTAGGTTGCACCGGAATCACGCAGCATCTTTCCCTGGATACGTTTGAGTCTCAACAGGTCTACCATCGGAACCAAAGGGCAAGACACTTAGCACAAAAAACGAATGGCACATAAAAAAATGTCCCTTTAAGCCTGGCTACACCTTCGGGAACCCAACTCAGTTCTGCTGCCCCGTCCTCTCCCGCCTTCCTGTTACACGCCGGGGACATTCCCCGCTTCCCTGCCCCGCGGCCGTACCGGGGGGTGCGGCGAGACTCCTTCGGGAAGGTGAGCTCAATTTACGCGCAAATCCATTTCCGCGTTGGCTGCCGCCATCCTTCGCCTCGCACCTTCCCCGTTTCCTTCCTCCTCCTCCTCCGGAAGAAAGGGAAACAAGAATCCCGCTGCCCCAAGYGCCGGGAACGGCCCCGGGCAGCGCTCCCCGGCCACGGCCCCGCTCGGGCGCCTCGGGTGGGTGGCCCCTCTTTCTCTGGCCCCTCTGTCCCCGGCCCCTCTGTTCCCAGCCCCTCTGTCCCCAGCCCCTCTGTCCCCGGCCCCTCTCAGAAATTCCCTCCCCATCCCGCTGCTGCTCCGCGCTGGCTCCGCCAGGAGCCCAACAAGCGGCSCTTCCCCGCCGCGTCCCCTCGGCACACGCACCCTCCCGCGGCTGCTCCGAGCCCGACATCGCCGCGGACCGAGGCAGCGGCTGCACACCGAGACGAACCAAAGCGAGCCGTGCCGTGCCTTGGCCGCTCTTCCTCGGCCGAGCCTTCCTGGCCTTGGCCCGCCCCCTCAGTGCGGAGGCGGGCGCTCGTCGCCCTTTGGACCCGGGGGGAAAGCCCAGGGTGATGTGATAAAGTAAGCCACGCGTTACCTGWGTTCCTGTGATGGTATTTCAACGGCCGTGTTCGAGTAACTACACCATCTTACACAAAACCATCGTCCAAAATGTGGTGAGAGCCTCCGGGATTTACTTAATTGAAACTTTTCAAAACTGCACTCTAACTCCCGTTGCAAGCACATACTGTTTCCTTTCATGTTCCTCCAAATGCGTTTTCATTCGGGCACCCGCAAACAACCCTTGAGAAGCTTGGATGTGTGGATCGTTCTGCAGCTTTGCTTATTCTCGTGTTAGATCTCTGAAGATTTCAGAACGGTGGGCAGTGATAAGGTATTGCAGTGAGTGCCCAGGTATCTTAACCTTGTGTGCTTGTGTTCCCCAGCCGGGAATTGTGCAGCCCTTTAYCGGTCACTGATCAATTGCATTACAAGTTTCTATACCAAAGTGAATGACAAAAACCATTCTTCTCTGTAAGAGCTTTACAGACTACATCCTAGAGGGATCTGAATTTTCTATCCAGCCTGCTTTTAGACAGGCTGGAAGATAAACTCAGGTATGAATGTGCACTTAAGAGAGTGGTGCTACAAGTACAAAAAGCAGATTTAGAGTGGAATTCATTTTTACGCAGTCTGTGAGGTTCTGATCTTACACAGGCTTCTTGCATTCGTAAAGCTTTTAGATAAGATGTCTCCCTTTGGTTAAAGGATCCATGGGYATTTCTAACTACATTTGCTTGTTTTTCCCTTGTTTGGACTTGTTACCCTCAGATTGCCAGGARGCAGCTGGATCAAGATAAAACTGTTTTTCACATATTTTTGTGTATACTTTAGCTAGAATATGACATTATCATGAGAGTTTTGTGTTTTCCACCGGGTAACATTTGGACTTCTATCAAACAGATTCCATTTTTTGCAACTCTAAATCCCATCTCTGTCAGCTCACACTAGAGCAGCCCCYGAACCCACCGGCAACAAGAATCCCAAGTGAAGTAGCAGCTGCAGAAGCAAAATCCAGGACTCTAACAGCAGTCTGAACTCGTATCAGCCACGATAACAACGCTGACAATGCTCAGTCCAACAGTTCACGTGGACCCTTGTAAGACAGACATTTTTTCTGCTTTGTTTTGCGGGAGGCTAAGAGCAGACCCAGGCACTGTGCTCAGATGAGTCACGGGTAACTCGATCACAGTGTGTGCAGCCTGAGGGAGCCTTGGACTGGTGARCATTTCCAGCTCATTCCAGTGGCTCAGAGTTTTTTTGTGGGTCATGCCTCCACATGTTTAGAAACACTTTCAGATTGTTGCAGTAGCTCTCCAGTCAGCAAATATTTTTTAGAAAAAGCATTGTGGATGGATCAGAACTGCAGTCCGAAGAAGGAAGTTTGATTGTGGACACACTGCTGTACAGGATTACCGAGAACATAAAAACATGCAGTATTGAGTTTACTGAGCCGCTATACATATGTGTGGTTATGGTTTAATCCAGCATAAAGTTAAACACCACAGAGCTGCTCATTCACACCCCCCAGTGGGATGGGGCAGAAAATCAGGAAAAAGGTAAGGACAGTTTAGCAGGAGGGAAAAAAGGGAAAAGAATAATAAAAGAATAAACAGGTGTCACAAACACACACACACACACACACACACACACAAACAAAAAAAGAAAGAAAGAAAATTATAAAGAGAGATATGAATAAATCCCAAGACAGACAAGGGACACACAATACAGGTGCTCACTGCCCCCTGGCCAATGCCTATCCAGTCCCCAAGCACTGGCTGGTGCTTCCTCGCTGATCAGGATATAAACTGCCCACTCTTTATATACTGGGCATGATGCTCTAAGGAGTGGAGAATCCCTCTGGGCACTTTGGGTTMATTGTCCTGGCCAYGCTCCCTTCCAGCTTCTTGTGCACCTCCTCACTGGCAGAGTRWGGRAA